TGTTGTGGGTGATATAACACGATTACCATAGTAAATGGTATGTAATTTTCCCTACTCACTACTAGTTTCATGGTTACTAGTCATTCGTGCTGATCAAAACAAGGAAATGTTGTGTGACCTCCACCAGTCCAATGTTAAATCAACATAAGATGCCAACCTGGACCAAGGAAGGGAAGCACACCATCGTTATCTGACGAAGTATATCTTGGCTGTAAACTCATCTTGACTTTAAAGGTTTCACCAGTACATCTGCGGGTACACCCCTACCGTATCACACAATTGAAGGTGTGGGTTGTAAATCATCACTTTTAACAACCCTTAATTTCACCGAAGCCTTTGAATCGAATACATCTTTCCAGTATACGTACCCAGAAATACTTCAAGCATGGGAGACTTGGCAATACACAGTATTTCTATCCCCACTGTGTATTCAACTCTTTGGAGGTTCCCCAGTTTTTCCCCTATTTTCTGGATCTTGCATTCATTAGAGGGTTTTTGAAACCAGATAGACGTGGTTTAAAGGTGGCGTTGCTATCGGAGTTGATAAAACTGAGCTCGAGAGCGAAATCGTGGTAAAAATCCTATAGATACACTCAACTGCCGTCTTCAACTTACGGGAAGTTTCAATGGCTTTATCTATATCCAACCCCTTGTTTCGTTTAAGAATTCCAGTGATCAATAGGATGCCAATAAAGAGAAACACAGCTGAAAGAAATCCGACGAATAACCCAAGAAGAAACACAAGGGCATGTTTTTTCTCGCATACACACGCCTTTATGGAGAGATTTTCTCTCTCGCCTGCGGAACAAAACATTATATGCGCAAGACAGTTTGAGCTCGTATATGATTCTTGTCACTAAATCTCGTCTTTTTTTGCGATTGCGCCGCACAATTTAAGTTTGACCGCGCAAGTGTGACGCGAGTCGATAGTGCACGGGACGTATTGATTACTCTCATTGAATGATGGTCACGTGATCGGGAGCTGGTACCTCAGCAGGATGAGGCTGTTCTGTGGACGGAAATGATTTAAGTAGAAGAGAGAGTTCTCAGTGAAGTGTGAACTATCATCTTCATCACCAGTTGTACAGTAGTTATAGCTGCCACAGTTTCGTGTAGTTTGCAGTGTTATTTTTTAGTGTTAATGGGCAACAAGTTGGATAAACCACATGGGTCAGATAGCTGACACTGAAATGACCTAGCCGAGCTTGCTTGCATGACGGTAAAGGGTGGATGAGGGACATCAGCGGACAAAGAACTGTGCTGGCAAATGAGACTTCTCAGTTGCCAAGGCCGGAAAAGTTAGTTGAGATACCCTGTATTGAACCTTTGACTCAAAACTTCGACCAACAAGTCAGTAGACAATAGAGTTTTCTATAGGGACCCTGCTCGGAACTGAGAATTCAATGGAGATACCCTGTATTGAACCTTTGACTCAAGTCAGTAGACAATAGGGTTTTCTATAGGGACCTTGCTCGGAACTGAGAATTCAATTATCCTACCTGCTCAGCCACAGGGGGACTGTAGCAACTGCCAACAGAAGTTGCCCTTGAGCAGCACTAAAATCTTTGGTTGTAAGAGTACTCCGACCATATTTATTGATGCACAGTTGGAAAAGATCAACCGTTGGGCGATCATAGTGCGCGGTTTTTTTGGGAAACCCTTCTAGGAAAAGCAGCATGGTGGCTTACGTAAATTTGGACATTCTGCTCGCCTGGGAGAAACACCCAACTGCCTTCACGTTTCCATCGCAGAAGACAGCAAACTTTATCCTCAGACGGCCTCATAGCACGATCACTCGTGGAATGGGTCTCCCTGCTCTTGGTCTAACTGCTCCCACTTGAGACTTCCTGGTATGATTGGCCCTGTGGAACGAAGTTTGGTTAGGTGTAGTCCGCGGGTTCGTTGCAACACTCAAACCCGGCTTTAGGGAGTGGAATTAATTTTACTCACAAATCTGAATCAGTTAAGCCGTCGAAGAATATTTTCACACCCAGAGAGACTTTTGATTCCGACTTGCTCATTTCCCACGTATCATACCAATGCATGAAACGTTCGAAAAGTATGACGTCCATTCGTTCCAGTAGAGGCAATTCGGGCAGTGATTTCAGGGTGAGATTACAGTTCCATCTAGTTTTGCTGGCATTTCGCCGGGAATACCTAGACCGACCAACAGCACGCAAGTGCTGATGCAACACCTAACAAATCCTACTGAAAAACTGGTTTTCGGGGAAAAATTAAACAGCGTTCTCATTTGCCACTTTTTATCAAATGGCAGACAAAAGGTTGCTATTAGACGTACCGAAATCCTGTTGGCATAATGTTGTCCATCTTGAATGAACCATCATTTTGATCGATGGTGGTTTCTTATGGAATGCCCACGGACTTCAAGGAAGGTCTCCCTTGAACCATGCTCACTAATGGTTTCTCCAGGTACTGTGTAGAGATTCCGTCTCTCCTGCTGTTCCATTTGAGCCGTTTGAATGTGTCGTTCTAACGTGAACTGTTATGTTTCAGGTGCACTGGTGTGTATCATAGTGAAGCAAAACCGGGATCACAATCACGTATGCTGTACAGTTAATCAAGCTGATTTACAGCATTCAAATAATGGTGTTGCGAGGGCTTTATGGATAAAATTAGAGTTTCACTCAATTATTTCACACAAAATCCTACGTTCCGATTAACTTGCTTTTGCTCAATGAACAGCTGACCAGAAGCGCAGTCATGTTCTTGGCTGCGCATATTGGTAGCCCCGAAGAAGCCCTAAAGAAGTCAACTTGGACTGGACTTGGCACTAATGGACGACAGCTAACGGCTGTACGCAACAAACAGGTTTACATATCACAAAGGACTAGAATGCCTGACTCGTTGGTACCCCTAAACAGTGGGCTAGCAAGGCACCTCAGTCAGCTACAGATGAAATGGGTTCATTACTGATCTGCGGTCAGTTAGATCATGTTTTTTGGATGCTGACCATGTGATAATCCGGGTTGGCTTTCCACATGCTTTCCCTCGTCTCGCTTATCTACCGAGAAGCTCAAAGATTTATGGACTACAAATTAACATCCAGTTGGCAAAAATATTCTCATACTCACACTGGTTTTGACAAGAGACTCGATGACATGTAGGGGGTCCTTACAGCTGATGACGGCCTTCTTCAAATGAATGTGCTGCCTCATGTCGCACTATGAAGATGAGAGTATTTGGCAAATTATAAGCAGAGCGTAAAGTTGACGGGGTGAGATGGGTCAGTGTTTAGAGCGCCAGTCTACTGACCAGAAGGTCTGTGGTTCGAACCCGACCTCTACCTTTCGACTTCCCCTGTCTAGGCCTGGGCAACCTGACAGTATCCCAGCCCTCGTGCTTCCTTCGGGTAGCATAGCAGCCAGGCGCCGAAAGGGAGTTATAGCTGAACGATAAGGTTAACGGAAAGTTGGGGAATGTGACTATCTCCCTCCCAAGAAGAGCGAAATCGATCATGAGTTATCGAAGTGTTTTCAGTAACCTTATGTATGGAAAACGTCCAGTTAATTAGCCTACCAAAATTCAGAAGTGAAGGAAAGCGAAGAACAATTCCAACTAGTTTTACATTACTTCGAGTCACGAGGTGACTAGTCGTCACCACCGTGTAGCAGCTTGTGAATCTCCATAACTTACGGAGCTATACTATGGAATCTAAATGTGACCCACTGTTTCTCATATCAAATACTTCACTGGTTAAGAATCTGACTAACACAGCCTTCTAACTCCTCAATCTGCATAGAGTGTAATGTCCGCAGAGGTTGCTCAAGGAATAAAGGGCAGACAAACAGTCCATTGGTTATCCGGGTTTCGAATTGTAACACTTGATGTCCAACTCGAACCATCAACACAATGTAACTAGAAACTGGTGCCAAACACTTTGTTGGAGAGATCGCTCATTCGTTTATCTAGGTTTAGTTGTCCTGGCAGTTTACATGAAAGCACATTTGACGTTAAGAAATTCCATTAGGTGAGTTGCCTCGCTCGCTGTATACAGAATGGAAAAGCGGAACCGTGATAGTGCTGACGTTTTCTATCTGTTCTCACTAGTGTACGTCACATTTATTACTCTGTTACTCTTCTCTAGAAATAAGTTTTGATTTCAAGTAAGGCATAAGGCCTACTCGGGGACTGCGTCTACCCGATGAACCTCAAGATGGGCAAAACTGATGGTGAGCTGTCGAAGAGTTTTCAGCAACCTTATGAGATAAGAGTGATTCATAGTAGCTAGGGGACAATAGCTCCATCTGGTGTATTACCATCCAGGATGGTGGTGATGTGGACGATGATGTGATAAATTATCTGTTATTCTTTCCCGATCAAAGGGAGCAGCTTTCCTAAAAATTACATACAGTATGCATCTTAGTTTATATTCACCACTGTGTATACTTCACACCTGACCTGAGCCAGGAACTGCCCGATAGGAACGTATTTTTTTAACAGTTTCCTATGCGCTATGTCATAAGTGAAGGTTCATTTTTTACGGGAAAGTGTAATCTACAGCACTCTCTCAAAAGGACCGGCCTAGGTGTGTTCGCGAAGTAGACCTGCCTGATTATGCATATAAAAACTAAGCAAATAATCAGCCGTTCGTATATGATTTACACCGGACCGAAGCACTCATACACGGGCTCCTCTACGAGCATGAAGATTCCCTGATACTGTGGGAGTTTTGTTCGGAAAAGTGCTGCAAAGAAGGCTAACTACGGCGAGCTCCGCTGCATATCCTTCCAGAGGTTAAGGACCGATTATACTAGTCCAATCACGTGTTGCCTGTATAGAACTGAAAAATAATATATCAGTATGTGTGAAAATGAAACTTTCTTTCATAGTAATGCTGGTAGGTCATGGTGCTGAGAAAATCAGTACCGGGTGAATAATCAATAGATTTGAGGGCAGAACACTGAGAAGAGTTCGGTAGGGCCCAATTTATGACAATTAAAAGTTCCTTTCCTGTTTTAAATGTTTGTCTGGTTCTATATTATCTGTGCGCGTTCATAAACTTTCCCATGAAGTCCAATAGTCTTTCCACGTCATCCATGGTGATCCCGTTGTACAGAGAGATTCTCACACCTCCAACTGTACGATGGCCTTCCAATCCGATGAGACCATGCCGGCGAGCCTCAGCTAGCCACAGCTTTTCCAATTCCTCGGACGGTAGACGCAGAACAATGTTTACGCGGCTCCGATGGGCCTTTGGAACGTGGCAGCTAAATGACGAGAGAAGATGGAGAAACCAAGTTAGAAGAGCAAATTAGATTGGGTAACAAGAGAACAAATAAATATGTGAGTAAGTAAATAAAAGGACAAGAAATAAGTATACGAGTGATGAATGGAATATTGAATGAAAAGATAACTAAACAACTAAATGATCGGATAAATTATTAAAATCAGTAACCAATTTCTCCTCACGTCAAAATGTGTTCTTCTAATTATGCGTCAAGTAACCTACAGCCAAGTGGACTGTCGGCTGAAATTCCTTTCAGATCGCTCAAGCTCCTTTTTGTACCAAAAACCTTTCGCGGGGACAGTAGGTTATGACGGAGACAGAAATAAACAGTAGATTAAAAATATTCACAGAAAATGCGACAGCAAATCCGAGGAGGAACCGTTTAACTCCCTGCAATTTGAACCATCATTCGATATTGCGTACGATATTGGCGCTTTAATATCGGTAATAATGAAGAATATCCCAGAACAGGAGGGCGATTTTTAATGTACTACTCACAAGGTTGCTGAAAATCCATCGACAGCCAACCACTGGTTTCGCCCTTTTTTGGGCTCATCAGGTAGGCGCAGTCCACGGGTTTCCGTCAACCTTATGTTCTACTTGAAACCAAATTTCACGAAATTAGCGAATATACACTCATCTGCAAACTAATTTGGTTCTTTCGAGAGACCCACCTGGAACCCAGCGCCTACCTGATGAGCCTCAAGAAGGGTGAAACCGGTCGTAGGCTGTCGATGAATTTTCAGCAACCTTACAAATATATACAGGTATCGCGATATTTCAAATATCGTGACGACTGAAACATGAGGCGGCCTGTTGCAGCACATTCAGTTGCCTGAGAACGTCATAAACGAGAGATTCAGCTGGATTCCAGGTGAGTCCGAAAGAACCGACTTAGTTTGCAAATGAGGGCGATTGTTCAAACATCCACCAAGATTACGCTAAAAACACTGACTACTTCGAAGTAGCTTGAGTAATACAATTTTGTTTGTCAAGAAATCAGCAGGTATCACGTGCTAACTCTTCTGGAGGATTTCTCTCAAATGAAACGTATAATACCAGTGAAAAGGAGAAAAGCCCTTCGCCGCAGAGTCTTTTATTAGAAAACCCCGACTGAAAAGTTACAGAATATTGGTCAGGAAAGTAAAACTCTCACATGCATCTTGTTTTAAAAAACTGAATATCCGTCTTCTTCTTGAACGCGACTTCCTGAAACTTCCTGAACATTCTTTGACTATCACGCAATCGTAAACGAATGCTGTAAAGCAATCCTACGAATTCCACAATAAATCTCATCTCCCGTTAGATTAAGGTGGAGTTACTAGAAAACCAAATACTACTTGCATGCCTCATCAATAGTATCCACCATTACACCAGGAAGCATCAACGGGTTGGTGGCTTTATCCAATAGGAAGACTTCCACATTTCGACACATGTCAGTAAGCTGAATTCAGTTGCTGCACAACAATTACGATTGTTCTGAAAATTAAATTTAATTCTGGATAAATATGCTCATTTGAAAATTAATTTGGTTTTCATGGGAGGCTCAACTGAATCTCGCGTTTATCGTGTTCTTCAACCGAATGGGCTGCACAGTTGGTAAGATATTCCAGATATCGGAGTATATTTTCATAAAGGAAGCTACCCACATAGTTGCTTAGTGGCTGTTGAGTAGCTTCCTCCATGTAAATTCAATTCTGTTGCTGCCCTGGCAACTAGGTACATTTTCGAGTACATTTAATTATCAGAAATGTAATACAAGCTATTTTCATTGATTTTATTCATGCTATGACACCAAACAATCTTTTGATGGTGCAGCATTACTTGAAAGGTCACCGAAAGCCCTTTGACAACCCATCACCGTTTTCTTGCTGTTTGAGCCCCAGTCACCGATTTTTATTCAACTCTATTTTCCGCCTGCGCCTCAGTTGTACGCGATTCAAGAAGCACATCAGTTTGCATGTTAACTTGGACACAGCAAGAAAACGAGTGCTTTTTGATGAATTTTCCTCAAAAATCTAGTCTTGCACATCTTTTGCATTATCAGCTAACACAGATCTTGTATAGCACTGCTTATAGTCGAAAGATTTAATAATTTCCAGCAGTGAACTTTTCCAATAAAGACAATCCATCAGATGAAATCCTTTTATCCGGTCTTCCTGAATGTTCTTTCTTCGTAGGAACAGATTTGACTTGGCAACTTAAATGATAGTACAAGTCGACCCCAAAGTTGTGTGTGAACCATACATTTGATGGAAGGCAGTTAGGGAGGGATTGATTCGACTCTTAGTTGAGTTTCGCACCGATTTGCATGCAGCTGACCGCCCTGTTCATTCACAGTGGCTGCTCAAAGAAGGCATTGGGATAACGGAAAACCGGCACGCCTCACTGATTGAAGCAACATGTCAGTCGTACAGTTTGTGCATTATTCCGACCAGCCATATGAGTGTTTGAACCAATTCATAACAGATTTCTGGTGAGGAGGCTAACTTATGAGGTCACAAGCAGCTCGCAGGCGCAAATAGCCCAACAGCCATACATTCTACTTCGAAAGCCTGTCTCTCAGCCAACAGGCAAGCGAATTCACCTGTAGGTTAGCTTGCAGTCAGTATTTGCATCTGACTGGGCGCTGCCCGTAGTGCTAAATGAGTTATAGGAATCGTGCGATAAAGTCACTCTTTACCGACCTAACACTAGAAGGATGCGAAACTCAAAATGGCGTGGACGGCTGATGACGCTCAACAAACTAATCGCTGGAAAAGCGATGCAGGTCACATCCGGCTTACAGTTCCCAAACGGGTATGAGTTCCAATCAACTAGCATTTTGAAGAGAAGTGAAAGAGTGGCATTAAATCCTATCCAAGGGTAGGGGTTAACCATATTCTTGATCAGCCACTTGTAGCTGGATAATTAAGTGTTCTGGTCTTTGGCTTCTGATTCGTTTATTTTGAAGAATAATCTAGAGATTATGAGTGCTACCAGTCATTCGCAAGTTTGGCTGCTAAATTCTACTGTTGCTGTTAGGTAGAGCTCATGGGATAACTGCTTGGTTTTTAACACTCATTGAGGTTTTTGGTTATTCCTATTAGAAATGGGTCGGAACTCACACAAACGACTTGGGTCAACATACATAAGGTGCGCTGAATTAATGCAACTTACATTAATGGTCTGTTTAAAAGTGAAGTAGGGATACCTTACGAACCAAGTGACGAAAGTCATTCATTTTTTGACCTAAGCATCTGCCGAATCGGTCAGCATGGAAACGTTAGCGTCAGAAATCTTCGTCGTAAGATCCCACTGTGTTCTGGCTCTCCGTATCGATATCAGTTGCGCCAAATGATACTCTATCCTTCTGGCAATAAGGTTTATACTTTCTATCTTCGGTCTACCCTGACCAGAGTGCTATATCTGACTGTTGTTCCCGTTTTAGTCCTTAGTGCCGAAAACAATAGCTTTACTGCGAACAAGCGACTGAGTACGAAAAGTACAATGGCCTTGTGCTATATATTCAGGGGGCACTGTCTGACCTTGATCCAAGGTGTGTCGCACTGTCTGGCTTTAATCCAAGGCTGCCTTGCATCATATTTCGAAGGGCACTCTCTGACCTCGATTCAGGGCTGTCTGCTCGGCGTTTAGTGGGGTTTGAGCGTTTCATTAGGTTTCGGGTATTCTTGGATGATCTTCAGGAATATGACCTTTCTGACAAAAAGTAAACTCCGATACTTTCGGATCAGTTTATTAGTATTTATACAGTCACGAACTTTACTGTGGGATTTCGAGTACTTTCGAGCGGCGCAAAAGTACCTTTATTCTATGGTTACGCGGATTAGCCAAACATAATTCCAAATAAGCATAAGATGATGTATTCTTTCTCCTGAACAGAAAAAAAGCAGTTCTTGGAAATGCTACTGAGTGGTTCATGACCAAATCCCTCGCTTAGAAACCCAGTGAATCATGAGATTGTGAAGCACAGATGAACAGTCATCATTTTCAACAGTCATCTCCGTTCTTCTACTCGACACTCACCACGCCGATTAAATACGACATCAATCTGCTGTGTGAATTCTTGTTATCGAAACTCAATCCACCCATACAAAGCAAAAAATTCACATCATTGGTGATTTGAATCTCACCTGCAGTGACATACTATGAGGCGTTTGATCCGATCGGTGTGGTTTTTAAACCTCATCAATCTTGTAACACTAGACAGAAACGTCCAATTGGTTTTCACGCACTCATCATTCACAGGTCGCCTGCAGTAGCCGCAGGTGAGCGTGAACAGCTTGTTGCACCATGTGACAATGACAGCCAGTCGTGATGCGCATGACAAAGAGAAAAACCGTACTAACTGTTTGTAAAACACTTATATCGACATTCCTCGTTCTCTCCATTCCAGATTTCTCCAAAACAATTCTGTACCCCTGCAAGAGGAACTACTAAACACAATGATGAATAACCACACCTTTGGACGGACACGGTCGTGATGGTACCGGTGTCGCTGATTTACTTACTGATAAAATTCCTCGGAGTGATCAATAAAGGAGTAGATTGCGTCACATTTTTCTTGCGTTCTCCTCTGCATTACCTCTACTCCACCCTCTTCCTCAACCCATCGAAGCGCTTCATTGACTGCATAGGCACTGAAAAAAGTATAAGAGACAGTCGGAAAATAGTGAACCACAGAAAAAAGATTGAATGTTAAACTGACTTCCAAATTATTTTCAGGACCTTAATATTTTATTGGTATCTTCGTGAGTCCGAAATTCGTTCTCTCCAGGACATTTTCTAGTTAGAAATTTAGAGAATAAATTATATTTTCAACTGTTTGGTGATTCCGGTGTCCAAAATGCATTCACCGTACAAGGCTGTCACTTTACTTTTCCAGTACCGCTTGAAATCTACATGAACAAAGTTCAGTTCGCACAGTAATAGTACACCTGATTTAGATCATCTGAACATTCATATCTTCCGAGAGAGAGAGAGAGAGTGGGAAAACGGTGCAATGCGGAGTTCAACTGACACCATTCTTTAGGATCCTATCTGAATGACATAAGAGCGTATAGTTTTCATTCATTTCAATCAAACTAGCTACTTTATTGCTTTGGGTAACTTCACTGCCGAAATAGGCGAAGGCCGTCATCCGGTGCTGCATTCGTGTGACAGGCCAGGATGACCGCAAGGTTCCTAGCTTTTCTTGACACCTACAACAGTTAATTCTGGTGATCGTTGTAGCAGGCAGAACTTCATGTCTGTCATGTGTATGTATCACTTATGCTGCCCGCAGTTATTGGGACACAATTGTTGGGGACTCGTGCTTTTTATTCCAGCGATCTGCTGGCGTATTCAGGTGGTCATCTGACTACTGATGAATGGTCCCGACGTACAACCTGAATGGTCTCTGATCCTTGCGGCGGACGCATGCAACAATTAAACAAACTACCGCGTGTTCGATCCCTCCCTACGCCTGATCCGTCTCAAAGTGGGCGAAATCGTTCTGAGATCTTCCCCAGATCCCACCACACAATTACCAAAAACGCTTGGTAAAATTTCCAGCTTGGTAGTTATAATATCTTCAACTAGGATCGGTGGCAGTTCAGATGAAGTATACTAATGTTGATGTCTATCTGCCTAATAGGCTGGTCACCAGAAATCACTCTTTGGAAAAACCTCTACACTGGAAGAGCAGCAGTCATACAGATTACGGAACCAGTGGGACTGGATGGAATAACTGGTCCAAGAATTAATCTCATTTTCATGAACCAATGACCATTCGCCATATCCTGTCCCCCTTAACATCTGGTCCAATTCCTTAAGAACAACAAACTTCACACACAATTAGTTTGCTGAAAGGACTTGAGCAAGCCTAAATAGCGTCTACACTGGTTAACTGGATAAAAAAGCTGGAGGTTTGATTCACTGAGCGCTAGTCCAAAGAAATTTCGGGGACCTTACCGAATTACAGGAGGACTCGGATATCACAATCCATACATCAGGTGATGCCCGCAAGTTTAACCTTACCTTATCAGGTTGATATTCTTATAATGAATACCAAAATAGGGCTACTTCGATGAATTCATGACAATCCTTATTGATTTCCACGTGTAAACTGAGACGTCAGTGTTAAGTCATTAGCCGATTTTCAAGTGATTTCAAATTTTCGAGAAATACACTCATTTGCAGATCAATTTGGTTTTCAAGAGAGGGACAACTGAATCTCTCGGTTATAATGTTTAACAACTGAATGTACCGCACACAGGCCCCCCCTTTTTGACAACTGAATCTCTCGGTTATAATGTTTAACAACTGAATGTACCGCACACAGGCTGCCTCATGTTTCAGTTGGCACGATGTTCGAGATATCGCAGTATATTTTCATAAAGGAAACTATTCACTTCTACTTTGGTGAAAACCAAACTGATTTGCAGATGAGTGTATTTCTCGAAAACATTCCAGTTTGGGTTCAAGTAGAACATAAGGTTGATGGAAACTCAGGGACTGCGCCTACCTGATGAGCCCCAAGAAGGGCGAAACCGGCCGTGGGCTGTCGAAGAGTTTTCAGAAACCTTGTGAGTAGTTTCCTTCATGAAAAGATTTCGAATTGTTTTGGAAAAGGTCAATTATTCTTCTTTTAAGGCTAGCTCTCACAACTTGGTTGTAAAGGTATATGAACATAGAACGAGCTGAAATATCAACATTCAATCTCCATTGGATTTGGTGGTGACAAACCAAGTCTTAGTGTTTATCGATTTATTTTGAAATAAGAGCCGCGTTCCTGACTTTCTGACCTATGGTTCGCACATCGGTTCCAGAGATTTTCCCACGGAAGATGAGGGAAACTTACCGCAGCATTTTAAAAGTATGCTGACCGTAAAACATACGGTGCTCCAGAAGAAAAGAGAAAATTAGGTACAACAGACTTTGAACACTATTTTGTTGATCACACTTGTTTTGCCGGCCGTGACTCACGTGAATGTAGGTGGTGTATTCAATATAGAACCAGCTGCGACCTGCATACGATAGTTCAAGATACTTGGCGTCATTGAGAGTTCCCCACCGACCAAATCTTCGCGGATAATGACCAGAGTGAGACCAGCGCAACCCATAGTCTTTTGTGAACCAGCAAAGATCACACCATAGCGACTGACGTCAATGGGGCGAGTAAGAAGATTACTACACATGTCACAAACAATTGGTACTTGGCCTTCTTTCGGTCCGGGAATCCAGTTGAATTCAACTCCATTCATTGTTTCATTGTCACAGTAGTAGAAGTAGGCCGCACATGGATCATACTGCGTGGTAGACTGATCGGGAATGCCTGATAACCGATAGAGGGAGAGAAAATGTAACTACTCAGTTCTACGTGCAAACCATGATGATCATCCAGGCAAGCCAGGAACTGCATCACCTGTAGACAAGTGAAGAACTCCTTGTCGAACCCCATCAAAGAAACCCAATAAGGCTTGGTTAAGTAAAGGGCAGTAAGTATAGGAATCATGTCAAACAACCAGTAAATTCAGGGGCAAAACTGACGGTAAACACCAAACCGGTGTTGCTAGACAATGCATATATATATATATATATATATATATATATATATATATATATATATATATATATATATATATATATATATATATATATATATATATATATATATATATATATATATATATATATATATATATATATATATATATATATATATATATATATATATATATACATAAACTTAACGCTATGCCATCGGATAAAAACACGTCACTTCTGTGGAATTCCTCTGTTTCAGAACTGCGTACATCATTTCAAAATCTGCGGAGACCTTCAAGTGACTTTTACTGTTTCGCTAGGACCGTCTAGGTTATTGATCAACCTAACACGTGGAGGCGGTTGTGCGGACGAATTGATCATTGCCCTGTAGGCTGAACAGGGAATATTTACTCGGTATGAGTGGGAAACCTTATTGGAAAGATTTAGTGTTACAAGCAAAAAAGGATTGAAAAGTGATTGTCGGAGAAGTGACCAAATAAACTCGGGATCTGTGTAAACCTGAAAACAGTGATTTAGGCAAACTCAGTGCAGAAAAGTGATTTTTGAGATGAATATGGTATAGGAAGTTACCCAGAGGCAATCAGTATTGTAACTAATACCTGTATCATATTTTTCACATTATTTGGGGGAGTCGTGAACTTTCCTGAAAAAGTGTACGAGAATTTTAAAACCTGGCGGAAGTGGATCTGTTTGAGCGCAGATTTTGTTTCTAACCTGGTTTATCTTGGTCATAGCATATGCAACTCGTTTATGAGTCAGTGGTTAACAGGAGCAATGAAATATTTAGCAAATCTACATTGTTTTAGTGGCGCATGTGCCAAGCAATTTGCTTGTTGGAAAAGCTATACCGAGAGGGTTGATAGTCTGGCTCTTGTCAAAACTGTAAGGTTCAAAAGAGTCACCTACCTCACAAGGTTGCTGAAAACTCTTCGACCTTGTGAGTAGTTTCCTTTATGAGAATATACTGCGATATCTCAAATATCGTGCCAACTGAATCATGAGGCAGCCTGTGTGCGGCACATTCAGTTGTAGAACATCATAAGCAAGAGATTCTGTTGAGTCTCTCGTGAAAACCAAATTGATTTGCAAATGAGTGAATTTCTCGAAAATCACCTACCGTTTGAACGCCTGAGAGTGCATCACCGGGCTTATAAGCCAAGACAGCTAACCCCCTCAACAGTGTGATAGAAAACCGAGGTTTCTAGGCCATGGTTTTGTTTTTATCAGAGGCATCTCAGGCTGTCACTTCAGCTGGAATGTCGAGGGGCGTAACGAGGCCTAATTTGCATTAAACTGGACCTGCTGGAGCTAGTTGCCCGCACTCAACAAGCCCAGTTGCTAGAATAATAGTGGGTACCAAAACTCATGTACACCGTGAAGTAATGACATCAATGGCCCGCTTTAGCTCTTCTGTATGAGGACAGGATCATATTTAAAAATTATAGGCACCCTGCGAAAATCTTTTCCCGGTAGTCTTGTAATGACTGTCTCACTGGACAATTCATCCACCCAAGGCCAAGAGATTCCTTCTAAGTTAAATGATGATTATCCAAGGAAAGGTCATCAGACGGCCTCATATGAGGAGTACTTATCCTTGAAAGATTTTAGAACCAAACACTGGAAAATGAGGAAGAGTTTTATGGATCTTCAACGCAGTGATTTCCTTTTCTCAGGGACTGCTTTAGGCAGTCATAGAGTAGATAAGGTAAGGCATCAAATTTCTTGAATCTAAAGGTGATGTGCTTGTATTTTGGACCACAAAAAGGAAATAACTTACCCAAAATACAATAAGAAAAAGAAAGCCGGTCATGGGTGTCTGCTCGTTATTTTGGACATATGAATATGGGATAACCTCGGGATAATCCAATGTACCAATCTGTTTCTTTAGTTGCGCAACACGCTGAGTGTTACACGACTAACGGAGATAAAGATGGTAATCAGTGGACACAAACAAAAACGTTTTTGCCACATACTCCCATAATTATCCAAATCTGAAGAAATCATTTCTCATCAAGTTCCGCGGAGTAGGTCCTCAGAGTTTACTAAATGTTTGCACCAAGCAATCACCTCTGCAAGCTTTCACAACAAAGCTTGAGGTTAGAGCCTTTCTAATGTATTGATTTTTGATCAAGAAGACGTTTAACAAAAACAGATCTCGCAGAAGTTCTTAGAGGGGCACCCTTTCAAGGGGCACGTTTTTGTAGTCACACAACATTTAAGGTTTGACTTTGGAAAAAGTGGATGAAATCGGATGAAAACGTTCATTCGGCCAAATTGTAAACTTTTGATAGCCCTGTAGTTGGACCTCAGCAAAAACACCCCATCCTATATCAACGTCTTTTGTAAAAATGTGTTCCAAATAAGATTTACACGGTACACACGTAGACTAGACTGAATGGACAGAGACAAATCAATATCACAAAAACTTACACGAAAAGCCCGGTTCTTGTGGACAAACCTCACGAATCGTCCCATATTTTTGGGCCTCTTTCAGTGCTTTTAGGGACCAAGCTCCAGTTACCAGGTAGTCCGCCTGGTTTACTCCTTGGTTCCCCATCAAGTTCATTGGAATCGCGTCAAACTGTGCTTGAGCGCCACCCTGGGTGGAGGATTGTAATCATGAAACAAGGTCAAGCAACTACCTGTCAGTCGGGCGTATTCGAATTCAACAGAGATCAACCCATATTTGGGCCAGTTATCGACCATTAAGGACAAATACAAGTAGTTACGATCACCGATAGTAATTTCCATGTCCGGCGGCTTTGTAGATGGTAGACAGTCGAGTCTGCCTAACAGCAACAGATTAGTTTTATGATGGCTGCCCCCGGTTTGTAGTCTGATTACCACTAAGTCTGTATCTGAGTGTGTCCAAACACGGTGGGGTGAACTGCATTCGTATAGTGGATATAAGTTTTGGCCCATTGATATGTTCGAGGCCTTGCTTATCAACATCACCCCTTCTCGTGTTGAACCGCGTTTTGAGTTGCCCATCACGTCAGCATTGCTAGCCAGAGTGTGGAGTAGGGTAGTTCCGCGAATTGCTTCAACAGAATGTGTGCTAAACACGTTCTGTTGTAATACTTTAGCTTCTTCTCACCAAAGAGGCGTTTTTCTACCGCTTGTGTGACTTTAAAAGACGAGTAGCGCCTTTAGAATGCTTTCACGCTATTCCCTTATCCGTAAGAAGACGATGTGGAGGTTGATTCATTCAAAGCCGTGATTGTTAGTTGACTCAAGCGAATTGAGGTACTTGAGGTGATGAAATTGTTTAACCGACCATGTCCTCACTGAAAACGTCAAAAATTTGCTTACACACAGACGAGGAGCGCGGTTTGCTCTGCGTTGTTACCTAAGCCAGATCGGGGCGTAAAGTGCTGATGCGGCTAAGTAGCTGTTGCAAACATAACAGTGTTGTCAGTATTCTTAAGGCTTAAGGTTTTTGAAATCATTCGGAATTCAGCGTGGTTAAAATTCCCTAAATCCTAAGTCGGTAGAATTAAATAGTGTGAGAATAGCATGTTTTTTTTTGCCGGACATCAGTATCCATACTTCGCTTAAAAATCCAGCTCGACCTCCGACAAGTATAATAGTCTTGCTGGAAGCGCGGTAAGAGCCTGTCAGTTGGTGTGCTCTACCAGAACCCCATCCGTCGATAAAATTTTTCTCAGCACATCTCGGTCCACGGAATCAGATGAAGCGGGAAGTTGGTGAAGCAGGCGAGTGTGCACTATTTATATCTAACCAACCTTTCTAGAACGCACCACAAGGTGAAGCCGCTTTCCATACAACCCTCAAACGGTTTGGCTTGAGGCAAATCTGTAACTATGAGACGAAGCACCCTAGATAATGGTCGATAGTGGTTAATTCCCAGAAGGATCACTGGAAGTTGATATGTTCGAGGCCTTGCTTATCAACATCACCCCTTCTCGTGTTGAACCGCGTTTTGAGTTGCCCATCACGTCAGCATTGCTAGCCAGAGTGTGGAGTAGGGTAGTTCCGCGAATTGCTTCAACAGAATGTGTGCTAAACACGTTCTGTTGTAATACTTTAGCTTCTTCTCACCAAAGAGGCGTTTTTCTACCGCTTGTGTGACTTTAAAAGACGAGTAGCGCCTTTAGAATGCTTTCACGCTATTCCCTTATCCGTAAGAAGACGATGTGGAGGTTGATTCATTCAAAGCCGTGATTGTTAGTTGACTCAAGCGAATTGAGGTACTTGAGGTGATGAAATTGTTTAACCGACCATGTCCTCACTGAAAACGTCAAAAATTTGCTTACACACAGACGAGGAGCGCGGTTTGCTCTGCGTTGTTACCTAAGCCAGATCGGGGCGTAAAGTGCTGATGCGGCTAAGTAGCTGTTGCAAACATAACAGTGTTGTCAGTATTCTTAAGGCTTAAGGTTTTTGAAATCATTCGGAATTCAGCGTGGTTAAAATTCCCTAAATCCTAAGTCGGTAGAATTAAATAGTGTGAGAATAGCATGTTTTTTTTGCCGGACATCAGTATCCATACTTCGCTTAAAAATCCAGCTCGACCTCCGACAAGTATAATAGTCTTGCTGGAAGCGCGGTAAGAGCCTGTCAGTTGGTGTGCTCTACCAGAACCCCATCCGTCGATAAAATTTTTCTCAGCACATCTCGGTCCACGGAATCAGATGAAGCGGGAAGTTGGTGAATCAGGTGAGTGTGCACTATTTATATTTAACCAACCTTTCTAGAACGCACCACAAGGTGAAGCCGCTTTCCATACAACCCTCAAACGGTTTGGCTTGAGGCAAATCTGTAACTATGAGACGAAGCACCCTAGATAATGGTCGATAGTGGTTAATTCCCAGAAGGATCACTGGAAGTTGTTTGGAACCCAGAAAGAGTAGATGAGATAGGTCTTCAACAGTTCGGTGAATGTGGCCGTTTTCTTGGAAGCTATCACAATCGCACAGTCAGATGACGGAGCATGCGGGTAACAGTATATTCTTCAACTGTTTGGTCGATTGGCTCTATCGACAATCGAGGTTCGCACGTCTTTTGTGGGCGCTGTAGTACGGCAAGCAGAGATGGGCAATTGGACGACACCGCTAAACTTGGTCCACTGAACGACTGAAATTTCGACCAACGGGTCTTTGCTCATTGGTGCGTGGTGATGGACAGCGTGTTTAGTGGCGGGCACTTCAAGGAGGGTGACGATAAATTTTACCAACGAGGACTGTTTACGACGTGTTCTAAAGATCAGTTTAAGACATATGTTCACAATGGCGCTATCCAAACTGACAAGTGCCCTTCTTCTAAAATAGAGTACGATCATGCTCACCCGCCGCGTGTCTTGTATCTGAGTGACGTATAAGTGGATTTCTTGGTGCTGAAAGCGGCTGTTGGCCAGCTGAAGTTAGCAAAGCCCAAAACGAGATCGGAATTTGTACAGCACTTCGTTGGGTTTAGTTTTGCAAGGATTCAGTGGCTAGATCAGAATGAATGGGGATGTTTCGACAACAGAGACAATGTTTGTGAAGTACTTGGTTGATAACACTTGGAAGTCGTTTGTAAAAGTGCTCTCTGTCTATTACAGGCTTGTGGACAGCACTAAAGCGTAGGCTGCAATCAACTGCGAGTTTATGGTCCGTAAAATGCCGGCTTTTTTGGGCAACAACTTAAACTGATCTTTGGTTTATCTCGCCGATTACCGGGTTGTTGCCTTCGCTTACTGGATTATATTCAGTATTCACAGTCGGAACCTGGGAACTTCATTCCCCTTGAACACGAGCTGGGTAGCCGTACCTAGGAGAAAAAACAGGCTATTTAGCCTGAACAATCAGTCGGAATGCCATTTGTGCTATGCTAGTTTCCAGCATTCAGAAAAGTAGGTACTTTCTAGCAACCAGCGTAGAATTGTCTACCTTTGTTTTCCGCTAGTCTGGCCGGCCCCAAAGCCATAGTTTGGGACCCTTATCGTCCTCCCGTCCAGGTTTGAAGTCACTTGCGGGATCCTAGCTCTGATACAAAATGACTTATGCCAAGTAAATTTATCTCATACCACCAAAGTCGTCGCACGGTGACATAACACCGGCTTCCCACACTACTGCATACAACGTGACGGAAGAAAAAACTATGGAAATCGATCCATACTTCTCGCTTTAACTGGCTACTTCCAACTTCCGATCCAACTTAGTCTAATAGTCACTCTCCTGGTAGAAAAGATTTGTGACCGCCGCCGGCGTATTTTTTTGATTAGTATGAAGAGGATGAGGGAGAAACACTGATTTAGGGAAGGAATTTTGAGAAACTGACGGTTGACTAACTCAGATAATCATCTAACTCCTGGCTAACCCTCAAGATGTTTCGTCCGATAAGCCATCGGTCGTCGCGGGGTACGTGAGTGGCTCTAGACTTCTTTAAAAAACCCTTTCATGGGTTTCTTTCAAGTCACACGCAGTCAACATGCAGTCTGATACACTTGACTCACTGAAAATACTTTCCACATACGTATTTCTAAACTCTGCCTTACACTCGTACAGGAATTCAGTGGATGGGATTTCCCAAGAAAGCAGTGGATATTAGTAGGTGTCTCGGGATTTTCCCCTGAAGAACGCCAGGTGGTGGTTAGTCAGGTATTGGATGACACAAGTGGCCCCAGAATCACGAGAAACCGGTATCGCTAGGATCAGTAAGCCTGAATTTCAGACTGGGTGCCACAGGTCCCTTGGAATGTAGCTGTGTCCACTGGTTAAGGTTTGTATGTGACCAGACTTTAGTCGGCCAAGAAAGCTGGAGACAACGAACGGGGCCGGCTGCTGCAAGTGGTTTAAAATGCAGACTGAATGATCATGTAGACAGACAGCTATGTAGCGACTGATACGCGGTCATGAGCTAGACATGTTAGAAATTAACGGGCCTGTAAAGACTTGTTTCGTCTCAAACTTTGTAAAGAAAACATGGCAAATACCTAATTGCTCACTTCTTGCGCAATATGTAGTCGAATCGAGTCGAAATGACCGGACAAATAATTTCTGCTATTTGATAGATGGACGGAGATATGCATACAGAAAACTCACCTGAAGGAAAAGTACATGATAGTTGCTCGGAACGTTTAGCAGCCGCCGAATACGGGCTTCGCAACTCCTCAGTATATCGACGAATTCTTTGCTTCGATGCCCAACTTCTATGACACTGATACCACTATCAGCGCAGTTGGAAAACCCCTTCTGTATTCGTTCAAGAACCTAATTTGCAGGTGTAGCGGGGCAAAGCGTGGAGATCATCAGATTTCATTTTTACTGTGAATGGAGTATATCCGTACAGACACACGAAACACTGAGAACCCAATCAGTCAAGTTAAAAGAACCAACAATAAATGAGAGAATATGCACTTATTTGCAAACTAATTTGGTTTTGCGAGAGACTCACCTGGAACCCAGCTGAATCTCTCGTTTCTTGATGATGGTCTCAGGCAACTGAATGTGCTGCACCAGGCCGCCTCATGTTTCAGTCGCTACGATATCCAAGATATTGCAATACATGTGTATTTTTGTAATGCACTACCCATAAGGTTGCTGAAAACTCCTCGACAGCCCACGACCGGTTTCGCCCGAGAGATTCAGCTAGGCTCCAGGTGAGTCTCTCGAAAAACCAAATTAGCTTGCAAACGAGTGTATATTCGCTAATTTTGTGCAATTTGGTTTCAAGTAGAACATAAGGTTGACGGAAACCCGTGGACTGCGCCTACCTGATGAGCCCCAAGAAGGCGAAACCGGTTGTGGGCTGTCGAGGAGTTTTCAGCAACCTTACGAGTAGTGCATTACAAAAACCAACAATAAACTTTTCACCCTGCGACAGTTGGGAAGCCAA